ACACACACACACACACACACACACACACACACACACACACACACACAGTTACTGGTGGTGGCGGCATAGGCCTTTAATCCCAGCACCTGGGAGGCAGAGACAGGCAGATCTCTGAGTTAGAGGCCAGCCTGGTCTACAGACCAAGTTCCAGAGTTACACAGAGAAGGAACTGAACCAAACGAAGGGCTTCAGGAGTATCTGGCATCCAATGACTAGCCTTCTGGGAAGACCCCAGATATCAAAGGTCTTTTGTCCTGTCTCATTTTAAGGGCAGGAACTCAAACCACAGGACCACCATCATTCTGCACGGTGGCACTAACCCATCACCAAGACCTACTCAAGTCACAAGTAAAACAGTGCAGACTGACCTGGAGTCACAGAAAGTAGGTCAACAGTTTATTAGGGACAGAGGCAGAGGGGAAGCTAAAACACAAGGAATTTCTAGAAAGTGATAGATACATTCTAGATGTCAATTACACTTTGATCAGGCTTTTATCAGAAAATAATAAACATTAAGATATGGAACTGAAGATGGCTCAGTGGTTAGAGCACTGGCTGCTCTCACAGAGGACCTGGTTCAGTTCCCAGCACCCACACAGCAGCTCTTAACTATCTGTTACTCCAGTGGCAGGGGATCTGACACCCTCTTCTGCCCCCCCAGCCCCGACATATACCCACACACAGAAACATAAATACATACTTAAAAGGAAAATAAAATCTTTAAGCTAACTGCAGAAAAGAAACTAGGCTGTTACATGGACCAAAAGATCTCAGAAGTGTGAAGATACCTGGAGAAGTAGAAGATGCCACATTAAAGGTAGGAAACCATTGCTCCTAAAACACACTAAATAGAAAGGCATGGTGCCACTTCTCTAAAAACTCAACGATCCCTTTTAACAATAATTCCATATTATTGACTATTAGATGCCAATATTGCTTTCTACATTTTAAACACATTTAAACAAACAAACAAGCGGGAGAGGTGGCTCAGAGGTCCTGGGTTCAATTCCAAGCAACCACATGGTGGCTCACAACCATCTATAGTGAGATCTGCTGCCCTCTTCTGTTTAGGTGTACATGTAGACACTGTATACATAATAAAATAAATAAATCTTAAACACATACACACATACACATACACACACACGCAATATGATTCATGCCTTTCTACCCAGCACTTTAGAGGCTAAGGGGCAAAGGCAGGCAAATCCTTCTGGGTTCAAGGCTAGTCTGGTCTACACAGCAATCTCCAGGCCACCCAAGGCTACATAGTGAGACCCTGTCTCAAAAAACCAAAATCAAAGACACAACCCCCTCCCCAAACAAACAAAAATTGAAGCAACTGGACAAACCACAATAAAACCCAAAAAAAAAAAAAAAACAACCCACTGCCCTATCCTGAAAACTAAGTATCTTGAAGTTTCTTTGTCAAAAATTGAGTAAGCAGCATTAATATTCAATCCCATATGGCCGTGTGGCTCTGCATAGGTAAACTCAAAACTCTAAGAGGTGAGAGATGAAGAACAGAGGGAAATAACACCTTTCTTAAATACTAAGATGCAGTTTTAAACAAACAGCAAGTTTTGGTAAAATTATGCAACAGAAGTCAACTTCTGTGTCGAGACCACACTCCCACGAGCCCTTTCTGCCCTGCCCGTGAGTGAAGGTGGCAGCCAGCATCAGGTGTCCTGACAGCAGCACACGCCTATAAAGAACAGACAGGGAGGCAGACTGCGTAAGCATGGTGTTTGCCCCAGCCCCAGTTTGCAGTCCTTGGTGGCCTTGCTCGCCTCTGGTTCTGCTCTAAGCAGGGCCAGTCTTGGTAGCTCTTTACTTGTGAGAGAGGCCGTGCATACAGTACAACGTTCCTTTTGTGGAAAGTGGGATCGCTGAGCAGCCTTTGAAAGCCGAGATGAGTCACACAAACTCAAACTAAATCAAGAACACATTCCCACAAAAACCCTTAGCCCTTGTCTAAAGCCAACCTGTTGGCCCCGAGAGCTGGCCACCCACAGCCCTCCTGGGAAAGAAGCCTTATAAAGACATCCCTGAGCCAGCCAGGCTTTGCTGTAGGCTTGGTCTCAGGCAGGACAAATACCCACTCCATTGGATCATCAGCCCAGGGAGGCAAGAGCTCTCCACAGACTCTTATGCACAGAGCTGTACATGGCTGAAGCAGGATTCTGGACAGCAAGGGCGTTCCAAGCCCGAGCTGAGATTTATTAGCACACCATTTTGCTGAGATCACCGGGAGCCTAGTCAATCCTTTGCTTCATATTTATAACTAATTCTGATTAAGTCAGAAGGGTGTTGAGTCTCAGCCAGAGAGCAAAGGACATGGAATGCTTCTCCATCTGCGCTGGGCTCTTAATACACATGTTCTTAGTTGGGTGATATGTTCGGTTCTTGGCTAACTGTCAGGCCCTGAGAGACTGCCACTTCAGTCGTAGGAATGAGAACAGCAATAAGAAATACCGAAGTGTCTCTTCAGCAGAAACAGGCAGCCCTGTAATTAACATGGACAGCTGGCTGTCTGGTGAGGAAACAGACCTTCACACACTTGTTGGTCAGTGGTGGGAATGTTTCCCGTAACTCTAACTTGCCTACTTCCAGAATTAAAGGACAAAAAGTGCCATTTAAATATTTGTCTCAAGCTGGAAGTATACACAGGCAGGGCTCTCTACTATAAAAGCACCCTGCTCATCTGCTCAGTAACACTGCCACCTGGAGCCCAGCAGCAGGCAGAAGCATCAGTCAAAGAAAACTATTAACCAGTTGCCCCAACAAAGAGGCTACCAAATCAATACCAATGCAACCAAAGCAACACCTGTCCTGAAGCATATGCAAAGCAGTGTCATGTAAACTCATGCCAGAGAAAAACAAATGGGAGATTTCCATCCTATATGTCAGTAAGCATGACATAGCGAGAGCATTCCTATTGGAATTTATTTCATTCTTTCCAACAGTTTCCTCTTATTCTCACCAGTTATGAAAGAATCTAATTTGATTTGAATTTCAGGCCCAAAATTTGAATAGGACCATGGTAAGAGACACCTCAAGGCAAGGCCTCTCGCTCTGCACTGCTGAAACAACAGTCTTATACATAAAATCTATTCTAAACACCATCATCTTTATATGAGAGATACAAAGAAAAAATGGCAAAATACATTTGCAGTGCTCAAGACACAGATGTCAGACTTCAGAGGACCAAAGTTAAAATTTAAAATATAATGCACAAATTTTAAATTAATGAAACCAAGGGGAGCCAAGTCAATTAAACTACTGAATTCCAGCACGGTATTCCCCCTTTCCTGTCTGACCCACTTGTCTCGGCCAGCCTGACCCCTCGCCCCTTACCCAGGTAAGAGCCATAAGTCACGTTTCTGTACTCCTCCCAGGAGATTAGGCCGTCTTGATTCATATCAAACTCCTGCCATTGGTTTTCAACATTGTCATATATGTATTTCTTCTGGGCGTGCTTAATCCAGGATTTCAGCTCCCCCTCCGTCACAAACCCATCTTTATCCGCGTCTATTTTATCTACAATCATTCTACAAGACAAAACAGTTGTGTTTCAAGGGCCAGGTCCACAAGGTGTTTCCCCCAGAGAGCAGGGACCTACCTAAAACGTAGCCGTAGGTGGCATTTTTATACTCCTCCCAGGAAACGAGGCCATCCTCATTGAGGTCGTGCCCCTTCCACTGCCGCTCTACATCCTCGTGAATCCAGCGCTTTTGTGCAAACTTAATCCAGCCTTTGAGCTCATCCACAGTGACAAACCCATCCTTGTCGCCATCTATTTTACTTACAATCTTTCTGTGGGAAATGCAGAGAAATCCAGCAAGAGGTTAAAAAACCAAAGTCTCTGGATGTAGCCAGGAGTGTGCTGTGAATGGAGAGGTGTTGCCCAGGGCTAATACATTCAAGTTAAAAAAAAAATAAGTTTCCAGAACAGACAAGGGAACACTTTTCTCTTTGTTGGCCTGCTCCTGGCTTATAACAAGCCACCTGGAAAAGGTGAACTGCTCTGTAGCCAAGGCACTGGTCCCAAGGTCAACCCAGCCAATCTCTAGTTCTGAGCGTCTAATCTGAATGCTTAGTCCACCCGGGCACTCTCTCTCACATCAAACATGATGCAAAGCTTTATAGTTTCCGTTACTTACACCTGTTGGTGAGTAATCACAAGCATTAACAACGATTTCCTTAGAATTCAAGGGGGCTGGAGAGATGGCTCGGAGGCTAAGGGCACTGGCTGCTCTTCCAGAGGTCCTGAGTTCAATTCCCAGCAACCACATGGTGGCTCACAACCATTTGTAATGAGATCTGGTGCCCTCTTCTGGCGTGTGGGTGTACATGCAGACAGACCATTGCATACAAAATAAATAAATCAATCTTAAAAAAAAAAAAAAAAAGAAAGAATTCAAGATACCTAAATCAGACTTTAAAAAAATTAGTTGCTTTTAGAAAAAGGCTATCCTTTTGTTAAAACATATAAATATTTTTTTAAAAAAAGCTCTCAGTAGGACTTTGTCTCAAAAAAACAAACCTCAGATTACATATATTTTATGACAAGGTGACCTTAGAAAAACAAATGACTATCGGAGGTGCTGATCTTAAACGCCAGCAGCATTTACGTGATACGTCCACTTGAACTTCTGTCTACTGCAGAAAGCAGAACTCTGAGATGATAGAGGAATATGTGGTCCTGGTTAGAGATGTTAATAAGCTGAGGGTTATTAGCCAGCAGACTATGAAGCAGAACAACAGAGCCGTTATAAGCGCCTTCTCCCAGCTCTGCCCACTTTAACTAAGGACTTAACACGCAGTTGATGGCTGTGTGTGCGGGTCAGGGGTGGAGTGCGTACGAGGTGGCTGTGAGGAGCCGGCTCTCCTCTCTGGCAGCACTAAAGAAGCACGCAGCTTCCTGCTTAGAGAGGGCGCAGAGCCACACAACAAGCGGCCCAGGTGAAGGTGCACGCTCTGAAGCCAAACGCTAGCAGAACATCAGCACATTTCCAGGCTCCATGAAGAAACTGTACCGGGGGGGTCACAGATGCCCTTTTAGCTCTTCTCTCATGACAAAGTGACTGGAAATCAAGAGTTCTTTCCAGTAAGACTATAAACACGCTCATATCGATACGGCGTTAGCGCTAACTATTTCCTAGTTCTGGACAAGGAACTAGCAAGCGCTTTCCCTCAGAGAGCTCTACAACACTGACAGAAAAGGAAACATACCAAGATGGCATTCCTAAACAGTCCCTCTGCCTGCATGGACACGGTAAATTTTTGTTTATTTGGTTTGTTGAGACAGGGTTTCTCTGTGTAGTCTTGACTCTTCTGGAACTCACTCTATAGACCAGGCTGGCCTCAAACTCATAGAGATCTGCCTGCCTCTGCTTCCTGAGTGCTGAGACTAAAGGCGTGTGAAACCACTGTCTGGCAGACACAGGGTTACCCTAAAAAAGAAAACTTCTGCGTTATCTCCATGGTACTTGCTACCAATAGTGCCACTACTAAGAAAAAAATGGGTGAAGTATCAGAACCCCCCCTAAGCCCAGAAGATATTTCTACGCTATTCTAAATACCCTGAAGGCCTGCCCAGATAGCACAGCTGTAAGACTGTTGAAGATGGCTTAACAAAGGTGGCTAGCTGAGCAGTGTTCTATCCATATAACAACCCAAACGGCTTAGCCAGCGGTCAGCAAACCCTTTCTGAAAAGGGTCAGGAAATACTTTTACTCCCTGAGTCACATGCAGCCTGTTATATGTGTACACGCAAACAACCTTCTGAAAGAAAATAAAGGCTGGAGAGATGGCTCAGTGGTTAAGAACACTTTTTTCTTACAGAGGAGCCAGGTTCAGTTCCCAAAACCCACATCACAGCTCACAGCTCTACAACCCCAGTTCCAGGATCTGAAGCTTTCTTCCGACCTGTGCTGACAGCAGGCACACCTGTGGTGCACAGACATAAATGCAGGTGCAACATGCCTATACAGAGCAGATCTAGAAACTTAGAGGCGGTGTAGCTCAGTTGGTCCAGTGCTCACCTAGCAGGCATGGCGCTCCTGAGTCAGTCCCCAGCACCATATAACCAATGCAGTCGCACATAGCTTGCTCCCAGCACTGAGGAGGTCAGGCAGGTGCCTCAGAAGTTCAAGTAATCCTCACTACATAGTATGTCCAGGGCCAGCCTGAGAGAGCCGAAACCCTGTCACATAACCCTCCCCCTTCAATAAAACAAAGCTGAAAAGAGCTGGGCCTGAAAATCCCAGTGCTGAGCTAAGCCTGATGGAACACGCCTTTAAACTTGGAGGCAGAGACAGGTGAATCTGTGAGTCCCAGACCAGGCAGGGCAATACAATGCCACCCTGTCTCAAAACACAAAAACAAACAAACAAAAGAAATTCCAGCGCTGGGGGGATGTGCCTGCAATCTCAGTACTAGGAGGCAAAAGTGGACAAATAACCCAAGGTGGAGCCAGCTGGTCCATAAGTGAGATCCTCTTTCAAAAGGTCCAAGAGCTCAAGCCAAACCAACACAAAAAAGTTCTACTTGTCAACATTCTTCCCCCGCCCCCCTGAGTCAAAGAGTTTCTCTGTGTAGCCTTGGCTGTTCCCTGGTCTCACTTTGTAGACCAGGCTGGCCTCACAGAGATCTGCCTGCCTCTGCCTCTTGGAGTGCTGGATTATGGGCCCGGCTTATCAACATTCTCAAGAGAAAAAAGACACTAAAAATTAAGTACTAAGCTTGTCCTGAAAATGCTTATTAAAGATTTAAAAAAATATATTAATTTTTGCAGCTATACCTATAAACAATGATTTTCTCCTTAGAAACTACTCTCTTATAGAATGACAGGGGAAAAGGGTGACTCTGATCTGTAAATTCTGATGAACAGTTAGCTACCAAAGCACTGTTTGAAATGCCATCACACAAGTTTGGGAGGACTGCTGTGTGCCATCCTGCCTGGCCTCACCTAAGCTTCTTGCTTCCGAGGTAGGCAGCGCAGAAACAAAGCATGTCTGCTGCTGTCTCCAACAGGGGAACGCCAACTATTTAGCTCATTTATACACTGTGTAAAAGACATGGCTCCACCAGGGTTTCCTAATAATATACAGCTTCCTCAATGTGCTCAACTCTTGATATTTTACTGATGACAAAATTGAACACTTTTCTCTACTAAAAACTGCTAACAAAGCTACTCCACCACCTGCAAAACCAGAGGAGGCTCACTAAAGTCCAAGCTCCCTAAGTGACCCCAAGCCTAAAGGTCATCCATTATTGAAGAGTAATTCCGCAGAGACTTGTTCAGACCAAAATGTAGGCTGTACATACACAATATTGATGCGTGTAACCTAAAGGACAGGAAGCGCCTTCGTCTACTGCTTTTTAGCCTAAAACGTTAGCACAGTTATAAGGTTAACACTGAAAGCAAGGATGGTTTCTCAAAGACAGAGAAGCAACCAACAGAAAACGGCTTTCTAATGTATTTTTCTGAATCTGTCTTCAAATGTTGAGGCGTAGTTCATTCTACATGGCAAAATCTTTTTATTATTCCTATCAGTGCTATAAATAGAACAGTGTGCACACTTCAGTTAGCAGATAACACAAAGAATAAATTGATCCTTAAGTTTCCATCAAAGTAAACTCTGGAATAATGTCCACAGTCACAGCATTGCACATGGCGGCAAAATACTGTAGTGTGGCACAACTTGCTACACAAAGCTCTAGAGAACAGCCTACGAAGACGCACCGGTGGTGCTCACCCTGGAGAAATGACCTGCATTTTCTTAAAATGAGTGTTTTGGAAGAGCAAAAAACCCAAAACAACAGCAACAACAACAAAAAAAAAGGGACAGAAACAGTCAGCTAGGATTCTACCAGGTGTAGATTTAAAAACGTAGAAAAAAAAATCATGTGTTTCTCCTACAAGGCGTGGTATGTGCACCACGTGTGTGCACAGGTATAGGTCTGCACACGTGTGCAGCCCCATGGGGGCCAGAGAGGCACGGAACCCCCGGGACCTCGAGTTACAAATGGCCGTGAGCTGCAATAAAAGCGCTGGGAGCCGCGCCTGGGTCCTCTGGAAGAGTGGTTGGTGTTCTTACGCACTGAGCCGCCTCTGCAGCCCCACGGTGGAGTCCTCAGGTTAGGAAGCTGCTTGGGGCCACAACACCCAACAAGAACAGCATTGACGAAGCCAGGCCTATTCCGAAAATATGCCAGCATTTGGTACAGCAATCTCTGTCTTTACCTGGGGCTCAGGGTGAACTCTGAGTGCCCGGGAAAGTGTTCTCCTGTCAGCCTCCGGTCCTAGTTTGCTAAAGATGACATTACACCACAATGTCAAAAGGTTGGACGCCCTATTCAATAATGTGGTTGGTTTGACTTTTATTAAGGGACATCCGGGGAAATAGTAAACTGTACAGAAACAGGTAATCCAGTTTCTAGTCTATTAGGTAAACGTTACTTAGCTTGGGCATCAATGAATAAGTTACAGAAAGTTTCTCAAAATTAAAAGTAGAACTAAGAACTCCCATGTAATGTTCTGGAATCAAGATGGTAAGCTGAAGCTAGATACAGCACTGTTGGTGGAACTTAGGAAAAGTACTTCATGATTTCAAAATCCTGTGTACACGAGTCTGTGTGTTGCCACGTGCACGTGAGTGCAGGCATCCTTGGAGGCTAGAAGGCACCAGCTTCCCTGGAGCTGGAGTTGCAGGTAGATAACTCTTGACATGAGTTCTAGGTGCTGAGTCTGGGCCCTCTGCAGAGCAGCATGTGCCTTTAACCAGGGAGCCCTCTTTCTAACCTTACTGCATACTTTTATGAAGATGCTTTTGCTCTGCAGAAGAGTGAGGTACATACGGTTATTTAGTAGAGAAGTGTAGGAAAGCAGTGATTTCATTAGAATTCAGTGGCAGCGATTCTGTTGTTAGTACTCAGAGGACAGAGCTCAGCGCAGGCTTATTAGTGACTCAACCAGGAAAGGAAAAGCAATGAGCTGACTTATAAGGGACCCTGACCCGACCAAGAACGGCACATACCCGAGCCTCTCCTTGCTCTCTTCCGGGGTCAGCTGATCAAAAGTCTTTGCCTCTTCCGCGCCCAAGAAGGCGTCATGGTCATAGTCAAAATTTTGAGCATCATCATGGACTTTGTCGCTGAGCTGAGGCTCATGGTGAACTCGGTCCTTCTTTTCTGTAGGCTTGCTCAGAGCAAAGGCTGTGCACAGGGACAGGCACATAAGAAACTGCCGCAGGTCCATGATAACCTAAAGGAACAGAAAGATTGTTACCAAAGAAGGCAGCATTGCCTGACAGCAAGACATGAAAACATGCCTCAATCACATCGTCATTTTGATATGTACATGTATCTAAGTATTTTATATTACCCAAGTATTACTACTTTACCCGTAAAATAAGTGCAGCATGCTACCAGACCTCCCGTTACCATGCTGGGACATTTTCACCAGTTTCCTTTATGACTGTCAGCTAATTAGGAATTTATAGTTCAAACAACTACTTTGTAAAGAGCTTCTCTTTAAAGAACACAAGAAAAGCTCAATCTTTTTGTCCAAGAAGTTAAAAAAAAAAAAAAGACTTAAATCTTTTGCTTTTTGCACTTTTATCAGTGATCCGGTTTTCAAACATGGCTGAATACTAGCATTACCTAGAAGAATTAGGTGCCCCCATTTAGTCTCTGAGTTGCACCAGGCATTTGTTACTTTCAAGGCTTCTCTGCTGACTGCGCTGAGCACATACTCAGTGGCTTCCTTGCTCCATAGCACCAGGCCTCATCCAGCCACCAACCCATGTGGATGTCCGTTCACATACCATCATCCAGCTGCACGGTTGTGTTTCCCGGACTTACTCGGGCACAAAGGCCAGCAAATACAGATTCCTGAGTTTCGTGTAACCTGTGTGTGTTGCCACGTGCACGAACTCCCTCCCGACTCTCAGACCATGGTCACAGGTGAATCTAATGAGCACAAGGCTAGAACACTACTGAAAAATGTCACAAAACATTCCAGAGACACCATCAGTGCAAAATCTGTTTTATACTGGGTGTGGAGGCTCAAGCTTTTAGCTTAGCGCTTGGAAGGCAGATGGATCTCTGCGAGTTAAGGACAGCCTGGTCTACAAGGTGAGTCCAGGACAGCCAGGGCTGTTACACCAAGGAACCCTGTCTTGAAAAACAAAACAAGACAGGCATGGTGGCACACGCCTGTGATCCCAGCACTCAGGGAGGCAGAGGCAGGTGGATCTCTGTGAGTTCCAGGCCAGCCTGGTCTACAAAGCAAGTCCAGGACAGCCAAGGCTATGAGAAACCCTGTCTCGAAAAAAACCAAGAAACAAACAAAACCAAAAATACAAAAAACGTATACTATTACTAGAGGCTAGGCTCTCAAGGAACAACGCCGTGAAAACAATCAAAGGGACTAGTTTCCCTGGACTCTAATATTTAATTACTCTTTCATTGTAGAGCATCAATGCTGAATGTCTAAGCCCTGAAACAACAGTGTTAAGTTTTTTAGCAATTTCACAATACTTTTTATCCCCCCATTATGCCTGATCCCTGGACCTCTTAATGTGCCTTTATTTGGAAATACAGTCCCTGCAGATATAATCAAGTAAAAATGAACTCATACTCCTTCAGTGCAGTTCCAAAAATGGGTGTCCTTATAAAATGAAGGAAATCTGGACACAGAGTTGGGACGTTGTACTGTGACAGGCAGAGACTGGAGCGATACACAGGTGAATCGGGAACTGCCAAAGACTGCAGAGAGCTCTCAGGAGTGAGGAGAGAAAGGGAAGATGGCCAGACCAGCACCAGGCATGAGCGGTTAGGCTTCTCTGCAGCTAGAAGATGTAAATTTCAGTTTAAAACACCAGTCAGGAGCAGATGAGATGGCTCAGGGGTAAAGCGTGTACAGCTCAAGGCCTGACAGCTGGAATCTGATCCCAGAACCCACAAAGAGGCAGAGAAAGACCTGACCCCACACAAAACTGCCCGTTGACCCCCACAAGCATACACCCACACCACACATATAAGCAGTCATTAGAACCAAACCAACCAGCACTTGGTTTGTTACAATGTGTTACAACATCCACAAGAAATGAACACAAGGTTACGGCAGTCAGGGACGCTCACCTTCGAAAGCTAACCCATCTCCCAGCCCCAATCGGAAGATTAAACCCCAGCCAGGCATGATTTTCCTTTTCTGGGGTCGTCACTAGCGAAGCCAACCAGTCTAAGCACTCACATTTATATATAAACACTTGTCTAATCAGAAAATTCAGCAAAGCCTCTAACTTAGCAGCTGTTAATTCGACTGCACCCCAAAACTTCTATCTGGCTCTGCTTCAAAGCTTTGGGATGTAGAACAAAGGAAGAGAGTTGGGGAGTAAGGAAAATATGCCAGTATGTTATACATCGCCCATGGATCCATTTCCCCCTAACCCTCAAATAGTGGCTTAACGGATTTAAACTATTACTTTGGATTTATAGAGCCCCCAGGATTACAAAAACTAAGAAAATGCTTAGCCAATGATGAGCAGGCTCATATAAAAGTCCTTAAAATAAAAGCAGCCAGGCATGGTGGCATATGCTTTTAAATTCTAGCACTCGGGAGGCAGAGGATCTCTGTGAGTTTGAGGCCAGCCTCAAAGTGAGTTCCAAGACAGCCAGAGCTACAGTGAGACCTTGTCTCACAAACAAACAAACACAAGACAAAACAAAAACCAACCAAACAGAAAAGAAAAAGGAGAGGCTGGAGAGATGGCTCAGCAGTTAGGAACACTTGCTGCTCTTCTAGAGAGGGGTTTGATCCCCTCTCTTGGTCTGTAATTAAAACAAACAAACAAACAAACAAATAAAAGCCCTGACACGTGACTGCTTCCCCACCACACAAAGCAACCTTCCCCAGAGGCTGTTACCTAACGCTTACCTTCACCCACATCATGCTGCTGCCCAATTCCGTCTCCTCACCATCTACAGTCACCCTGAAAGCTGGTTTTCTATCTTAGCACCAATTAAAGTGCCTAAAAGGGTCGAAGGACCGGGGAACCAGCAAAGCCAGGACCTTAAGAAATGTGTCCTCTGAGTAACGTCTGTTAAAGATGGTGTGCGGAGCCGAGGGTGGTAGCACACGCCTGCAATCCTAGCACTCGGGGATGTTGAGGCAGGAGCAGCTCTGTGAGTTCAAGGTCTATAAAGGGAGTCCGGGACAACCAAGGCTACACAGAGAAACCCTGTCTCAAAAGCCAACCAACCAAAAAAAAAAAAAAAAAAAAAAAAACCCAAACCCAAACCGACAAAAGTAATGTTCTGTAAGAAAGATGGTTCAGGGTAAGAGCGGAGTTCTTGCTGGCCTGGCATACAGACCTGAGCTCAAATCCTTAGCATCCACATAAAAAGCCCAGGACTGTGGGGAGTGGAGCTAGGATGGCTGGGGCTTCTCCAGGTTCAGTCAAAGAGCCTGTCTCAGAAGGAACAAGGCAGTGGAAAGTGACAGAAGAGGACACGTGCATGAGCATACACACACGCACGCGCAGCTCTCCCTGCCCATATATACCAATTCCTATTAGAATCCCTGACTAAAGGCCTCATTGTTTTTATGAATAGACACACAACCAAAACATAAATCCCCAAAAGTTGACAGTATTAAGGTTTATATAAATCTATTCATAAAAAGAAACAAAACAGTTTTGATGCATGTGAAATGCATTTGTGAAGTTCATTTCTGAAGCATCTTTGTCTTTATAACCGAATAACGGAAAATGCCATTCCTCATCTCCCTTCAGCAAGCACACACTAACATATTAAAAACAGCAAACAGACAGGAGCTCCACACTTGTATGCGCTCTCACCATGTGATCTACAAGGACAATCCAAAGGCCGCGAAAGGCATCATTCCATCTCCTGTTTCTCAAATTCTGACCCTCCCGCACTAAAACAGAAAAACAAAAGGCCAAGTGCAGTGGCTCGTGCCTGTAATTCCAGTGTGGGGGACTGTGCAAGAGGGCCTGTGGGTGGCAAGGGAAGCCACTGCCTGAGCCTGACAGCCTGAGTTCAGTCCCTGAGGCCCACACAGAGGCGGAAGGACAGGCTGACCCCCAGGCTGACCTCAGGCACACTGAGGCACATTCTGCTGAAGCCTGCTCTCCTATGTGTGCTTGATAGCAACCTCCACCCCACACAGAGCCAAAACAACAGGAAACCATGCATTCTAGGCCAGCCTGGGTTACGGCTGATGCAGTTTCCAAACCAAACCAAACCAAAGGTCTTGCCAGTACGGTGATCCCATGGAGCCACGTGGAGCAACAAGCACTTAAAATGCGGGTGGCGAGAACTAGGGCATGTTTAGGACTGCTGCTATTTTATAGACATGCGTATACATGCCCAGTTCCCTTCAAAGTTCTAACTTTTTAGTGCCAACCTCCCCCAACCTCTCTGGCAACTCAGATGTCTGCATTAAACCCATCCCTTCAGACACATTAATTCTGCGGGGCTCCAAATTGTTCTGGTTGCCCAAAGACCAACTGCTAAAGGCTAGCAAGTGGGAGAAGCAGGTGTGGTGGTAGAATTCCAGTTCTCTTGCGCTTGGCTACTCAGCAGAAAAGGCACTCCTCCACTGAAGCAGAGGACTCAGTGCTTAATTGCCCATTTTATTTATGGAAGTCAGTGTAACAGCTTGATAGCATGATACAGAACTGTATTAATTGGGTTGTGAAATCTACAAATAAAAATGACCTTATCACAGAGGTAGGCAGATCTCTGAGTTCGAGGCCAGCCTGGTCTGCAAAGGGAGTACAAAACAGACAAGGCTACACAGAGAAACCCTGTCTCGAAAACCAAAAAAGACCTATCTACTTGGCATTCTGTACTTGCAGACTTTGGTATCAGAATCACTGACACTGTCACAAAGTCAATTACCCTCGACCTCTGGAAAGACAATATAAATCACTTTGCAGTTGTCAGGTGCTAGTCAATTTACACCAGTTTGCCAATACATTCTAACGAATGGGAGAAAGACAAGAGGCTGAGTCCATGAAGGCGGAACATCTGGCTGCAGAAGCTCTGACGACAACTGAGACCAAGCAGGTTTCATCAGGCTCAAACTAAAATCTGGCCACACAATCAGCTTACCTGTGGGGCTGGAGAGCCGGTTCAGTGTTTTACGTGCACTGGCCGCTCCTCCAGGGCTCTGGGTTCAAGTCTCAGTACCCAATGGCAGCTAACAACTGGTTCACATCAGTTCCAGGCCCTCCCAGGCCCCCCCTCCTCTGGCCTCTTAGTGCACACACAGTGTACTGACATATGCAGGCAGACACCCCTAAACATAAAAACCAACCTTAAACATAAAAACTCCAACAGACAGACAGACAGCTTACCTGTCAGAAAAAGGTTCTAGAAATTCTGGGGGGAAAGGGTTCTTTTTAAAATTTTAATATCTAACTCACTGTCCAACTTATTCTAGCAAAATATACAGAAAAAAAAAAAGCTTTGGTGTCTAGTACTGAATTCTGCTGTACATTTATGTTTAACATGCGTAAGAGAATGTGTAGCTATTTTAGCCCAATCTACCTTCAGTGTCAGAAGCATAAATAATTTTAAGATCTTAGATGAGGGGGCTGGAGAGATGGCTCAGAGGTTAAGAGCACTGGCTGCTCTTCCAGAGGTCCTGAGTTCAATTCCCAGCACCCACACGGTGGCTCCCAAGCATCTATATAGTGAGCCCTGCTGCCCTCTTCTGGTGCGCAGGTGAACATGCAGATAGAGCACTCAAGCAATCAAACAAGATCTTAATGAAAAGACCTGCTCCTAGGGCTGCTGACTGCGGTTGGAAGAACTGTTCCGATTATCCTGAGTCACTCCTATTACTTTACTCATATCACTCCTCAAGAATGACCACAGCTATGCCGCCCTTCTTTGGTTTCCTCACCACATTTGTGTGTGCGCGCGCTTGTGCAGTCGCCTGGGCACACAAAGCTGGGGTCAGAGAACAACTCTGGAAGTTGGTTCTCACCTTGCACCAGCTGTGTCCTGTATGTGACACTCAGGCTGTGGAGCCTGGCAGCAAAAGCCCTCCAAGACTGAACCACCTCAATCCCACCCTTCTTCATGATAGGGGTGCCATGGAGGGGAGGCTCTCACTGTGTCTCAAACTGGCCCACAACTCCCCATGTTGCCCAAACTGACCTCTAGCTTGAGGCAACCTTCCCACTGGGCTTTTCAAATGCTGAGCCGCCACATCCACCAGATTCTGCAATTTTGAAACAATTTCTACGCATTAATATAAACTACCTCTCTATAGCTCCTAATGTAAAGTTTTGTACTCTTTAGGACCGGATACATTTTACTGGCTGGAGTGGTATTTGAGGGTAATGTGGTTTTGCTGTGCTTTCCAACTCCCAATTTCCATTACTGGATCTGGCTAAAGGCCAGGGTACAGGCAAATACATGATTTCAGGGGATGGCAAGACGGTTCAGCCAGTAAAGGCACCTGACATCAAACCCAACAACTTAAAAGAGTTAGAGCCCAGATCCTACATGGTGGCAGGGGAGAACGGACTCTCAGAAGTCATCCTGACCTCTGCAAGCATGCTATGGCATGCACATGCCTGAATCCATAAATAAACGCAATTAAGAAAACTCAGTGTTAGTTCATCTGCTTGCCTCTAATATGTTACAGCATAACAGCATTTGTATTTAGGAGTTTATAGAAAAGTTGTGTATGGGGTGCACTCCTTTAATCTCTCAGCATTTTGGGAGCTAGGGATGGGCTGATCTCTGTGAGTTTGAGACCAGCCTGGTTTATATAATGCGTTCCAGGTCAGCCAGGGCTACGTGGTGAGACCATCTCTCTCACACGCGAAACAACAACAACAAAACCCACAAACAAACAAAGAAAGCTAATATAGAGAGAACCCAGATCTTAATCAAGCATTTCCCACGATTATTCCCGGCTATCCCCGAAACATGCCTGGCACGTCTATGTTAGAAAAAATTTGAGCTAATACTAACGTGTTAGTCTCCTAAAGCATCATCTGACGTACACCTAACACAGCACTGGATGGATGGCAGTAAACAGGCCTGAAATTACTTCCATCCACTCATACTCACCATTTTTTTGTGAGCTCATGACTCCTACTTTTGATTCTATAAAATATCCTGCTGGAGACCCCTCAAACACTGTCAAACTCACCTTAGGACCACACAGACTCCTTTTACACAAGTAGTTAGAGGTTACCTCTGGTCCCTCATTTGGACTTCTAAGTGAAGTTCTTTAACATAGACTATCGCTTGATACTTAAATATAACTGAATGAGGACAAATACACATTTGTCCTAGGTCAGCTTTCAGGGATAGCAAAGAATAATTTATCTGCCATTCCAAGTTTCTCTACCTTCAAGCTCAATTAAATAAACTTGAGCGTCATTATTCCCAATTTATTAATGCTGACTTGATGGTTCACAACAGGAAGTGAATGTGATTCTCAAAAAATCCTGTTCCAGGGCTTTGTACACTTAGGAATTTGGATCAAAGAACCAAAAGTTTTAGCAGAAACTCACTGTATTTTCCCACTTAAGCAAAAGAAACTTCACAAAATGCAAACCGCTCTTAGTTACAGCTACAATAAGGCATGAAAATCAAATTCACTTCTGAATACAGCATGCCAGAAATTAGAACTAGCACTTGGGAATGACCAGGAAAAAAAAAAAAAAAAAAAGCGATTATTTAAAGATAATTAACTCCCTAATTAACACGTGAAAACTATTTTCCGTTAATGACAATATTCAGCCGAACAGAAAACGGCGGCGTTCCTTTCTGGTGAAGAGTAAGTTTCTGTAAAAAACGATACCGTGTTATCATTCGTTTTGCTCCCCACGCAACACAGCGAACACTCCTTGGCGCTCGCAACGCGCCCTCGGGATGTGGCCGTGGGGCGGGGAGGCAGCTCCCAGCAGGCTGCTGAGAGGGGCAGGGAGCGGGGACCCAGTGCTCTCCGACCCTCAGGAAACACACAGGAGGGACCCTGCGAGTGGCCGGTGCCGGGGAGGGCGCGGGGCCCGGAGCTAGCGTCTGCCGGGCCACAGCCCTTTCCGCGGGGCTGCGGGTCGCGGAGCTGCACGCCGGGGCGCAGGGACGGGCCCCCGGGGCCGGGGCGAGGAAGACCCGCTACCCTCGGGGAACGCGCCGACGGAGGGGACGAGGGCGAGCGAGGACCCGCCGAGCGCCCGGAGCTTACCTTTCCACGGGAGCTCCACGCCGCGAGACGCCGAGGCCGGGCTCACCCAGGGGCTCAGCTCGCGCTCGAAGCTCCGCCCAGCCGGAAGTGGCTCCTCGCCCCGCCTCCACCGCCCCTCGTCACGGCCTTCACACCAATCACCGGCAAGACCGCTGCCGACGCGTTGCGTCCGCGGGCGGCCATTGGTCCCCGGGGCGCGCGGCCGGGATTGGCTGGAAAGCGCCACGTCCCCGGAGCGCGCCGAGCTGCGTGGCCCGGCTCCCGCCCAGCTCGGCTCGCCCAGCCTGAGCGGACGCCGAGCCCTGGTGCTTAGCTCTGGGGCGTGTGGGCGCGGCCCGCTGACCGTGGCCCACTGGCCGCCACGTCCGCGTTCGGGGCGCGCGACCTCCCCGGCTTCCGAGTGTCGTCCTGTTGGCCTTCTTCCTGCCCTCGAGCCCCGGGCCCGGAATAAGCCCGCCGTAGGGTCGCCACCCACGCGAACCAGCCCGGCCTCGGCCTCTCGAGGGTCCCGACGTGGTTCCGTAGACCTCCGCCCTGCCAGCGTGTGCCTTTCAGCTTCCTTTCCCATCACCGCGCACGTTCGCACCCTGCCCAAGCCGGCAGGATCCCGGCCTGTCCTGACCGCCCTACGTTTCACATCCATGTGGTCTTTTGTTCGCCTCTGCCTGAAAGACGTGTGCTTTCTCCGTTTCCCAGCTCCTGAAAGCCATCGTCACCCTGGAGTGTCTTGATGGACGCGGTAGTGGTGAAACGGGCCGGTGCTCGAGGAGTCTTTCCTCGTCCCAGGGAGCAGAGTTTACATATTTGCTTTCCCAGCAGTTTGCATTTGCAGTACACAGCCGAGTAACGCTGCTCATCTTCAGTTACATCAAGTGCCAGAACGGGATCCGCCTGACTTATTGCTTCAGGAGCTCCTAGCTTACAGCTCCGGTCCGAGCACATGCTCAGAACTACCAAGTGAACTGAAGAGAAGAAATCCATTGCATTGCGGGGCCCTGATTTAAGAGAAACTTAGGAAATTAGCAGTCTGTTTTGGTGGGGATAGGGAGAGTTTGAGCCTAGACTTTGCTCAGGATCCTAGGTAGTCATTGCCAGAGATCCAACCTCAGCCACATCACCTACTTCGAGGGCTACTAAAATTTCAGCATGTTTGGGATTAAGAGCACACAAAGTTTAAGTCCAGCCGAAACAAATGTTAAGATCATTAAAGACTTAATAAAGCAAATTGGCTTACCTTAAGATGAGAAAAGGCTGGCAACTACTGTTTGGGACGTTCGAACTATAAACACAAAACACAACTGTCACCTCAGAGTTTATTCTGGAGCCCAATGCGAGTAGCCATGACCCGGAGCCTAGATTCCTTGTACCAATGTAGTAAGTTTGATGAAGATTTTTATAGTAACAGAACAATGAAAATTACTTTTCAAATACATTGGTGGAAATACCAGAGAATGGGTTACCACAAAGTGGGGAGACCTTTGTTACAACCCTCAGATAACTATCTGATGACACACTTGGTTCTTGAGTGGTGAAAGCTAGTGGCCTGCTAAGTCATACACCCCAAAGGAAATTAGTTCTCTCTCTCTACAGTCCACATAACTCGCTAATGGTCATGAAGCTATTAGGTCAGTTACAGAGGAGAAGGAAAAGGCTTTAAGAGAATAGGTATTAACAAGGCTAAATATGGCCCAAAGTAATTTGGTTCTGGACTTTGCAACATTCTGAGTTCACATCACTGCAGGCCTAGTCGGTTAACAAGCCTTGAAGAAGGTTCAGTTTGAAAGTGCAGCTGCTTTTTGGGAGCTCTTGTCTACTGTTTCCCCCCGTTGGCCAAGTACCATATTTTGTGCATGGGGAGGGGACACAGTACTTACTATCATTAATGTTCCATGTTGCTAGGAAATGCTTCCCAGTATCTGATGTGGATCAGGCTGAGTAGTAGTAGGCAGGAGAGCAATCTTCAGCAGAGGGGAACAGATGAGTAGAGGCATTTTAAAAGCAACTTCTGGATCACATTATTAAATTCTACTGGCCATTAAGTTCCAGATCTATTTTTTAAGTCCTCTACATTTGGCATAACTTGATGCTGTGGATATAAATGTTTTTGTTTTAATCTCAGGTGTGGGATGTGGGACTGATTCAGGGGTCCACAGCAGCAGACTGTTTGCCTCATGTGGGCTCTTAAAGGAGCCCTTTGCCAGCTGCAGGTATTTTAAATCTGAGGATTCTAAAAAGAAAATAAATGTCAGAGCCCAGACAGTGTGGAGAGAAGAGAAAGAACAAGGCTGCTCCTTGTTCTTTCCCCCTTGCTGTTCCTGGTTGCTGTTGTGAGACAAGATGATGGAGATCTCCTGAAAGAAGGATTGGAATGGCTCTAAGGAACCCGATGACCCTGACCAGCAGGAAGCAGCTACGAGAACTTCGCCTCCCTCTCCCACTAACCCTTTCTCTCTCCTACCTGGTGCTGGGGTGTTGGAAGGGATTGGAGTGAAGTAGGGAGAAAGAGATATAAGAAACGTAAATAAAAGTTTTTAAAAGTACACCTAAAATGTGACATATATTAAGAGTATTACAAAAAATTAATAATCAAGAACATTGTCTGGCCCAGTAGCATAAAGGTAATAGGTAAAGGAAATAGGCATTTAAACAACTAAAAATTTTTAAAAAAATCCTAGATTGACTGTATATTTACTCCTGTGTTTACAGTTACTTATACCCTGTGAACTATCTTACTTATAATTGGACTTTTAAAACAAATCTATTATTTTTTTAATTCTAGTGAGTTTTTTGTTTGTTTGGGTCTAGCCAGCTTGAGTCATCACTATAACCTCAGGGGGAGTGGCTAACTCTAATTCTAGGAAAGACTGATCTTCAATAGTCAAGCTATCATAGCTCTTATCTGCTGACTCCCGGCCAGATCTGTTTTATTATATTGGTAGTAACTCCGATTTAGTTTGGGAAAGTAAATAGGAAGCCACATTGTAAAAGAAGTTATATAACAATATACTAGTCCTATAAAATTTCTTTTAATAAGATTGTGTTTCATGTACCAAATATTAATAACAACGACAGAAGAAATTAGATTTGTTAAAAATCATAATTTTAATTGGAGGATGTAACAATAATAAAATGCTTGCCTAGCATGTGTGAGGTCCCTTAGTTCAATCCATCCCCCTCCCAAAAAAAGTCAGGATATTAAAGTCCTTGTAGCCATAGCTAAATCTTTTACTTTTATGACAGAATGGAAATGAGACTCTGTAAGAAGTTACTATAGTTTTGTCTATTTTATTATCAAAATATATCGCCATTATAAAAACCCAGCTTATTGGACGGTAGAATACCTTACTCATTTAATGAAGAAACTTCAGCACTTAAGGTATAAAACATCATGGATGTCGTATTAGAGGTTGCTGTCTTTTGTATCAAGGAATGGAAAGAGTTAACTAAGTCTCTGAGCATGTCTAGCTGGAGTAAACAGAGGCAAAGTTGCTTTGGCCAATGTCCGAGCATATTATAGGGCCTTCTACAGTGTTTAATTGATTGGACCAGTTAATTTTTTTTAATCAAAAAGTTTATATCTTCTGACTTTAATAAGTCCTGCGCAAAAACAAGTGCCCGTATCCATGGAGCCAGCTCTCCAGCCACACACTTGAATCTTTTAAACATGAAAACTAGATCTGAGTAAGGTGGTGGTTCTAGGTAAACAATCATCACCAAAACCAAACAATCGAAAAAGACGAATGACTGTGAATTCACTAAAACCAAGATCAACACTACTTTATTACTTAGTTATATGCCAAGTGAAATACTCAATATCATAATTTCTGAAAATACCTAATTATAAAAGGATTCAAGAAACAAGAGAGTAATGTTGCTTGAGATACAGGGCTGCGGGTGGACTTGATCATGAGTATTACCCAGCGTTTCTGAAGCCCACACAGATGTACTTTAGATGAAGTACATATGTTTCATCTGAGAAATGTGAACCAAAAATTCATCGTGTCTAATCTTGTCAAGGTTAGAGGTGCCTGGATACATTTTCTCTCCTCCCTTCAGAATGAAGTCTTTGGCGGATGTCCTCTTTTTCTTCCAGTTGATGAATCATCTGGTGACTCATTTCCTTCTTCCCCAAAGAAGGCTCTGTAACTAATTTTGGATTTTTGGTTATGATAGTCAAAGGTTCTACATAGTAGTATATGCTTTTCTCTCATAGAGATGCTTCATTTATTTTTTATTTTTTGCATAGGATGTCAAGTACCTTAAACACTTTTCGTTAGTTCCTTGAGAATTTTGTACCTGCTTTGGTAATGTTCAATCTTCACCCCAACTCTTCCCCAACCCCTCCTTCCCTACCCAACATTTTCAGAACCCCTGCAAGACCAGTTTGTACTGCCTAAATATCTTGGATATATGGCTACTCACCAGGGACTACACTATTAGAGAACACACTCTCTCTCCCGGTAGCTAACAATTGCCAACAAGTTCACGGCTGGAGGCAGTTTGTGTGTCCAAATCCCCTCTCCACGGTGGGATTTGGCCTGGATCGGGTCTTCACTCCTTGTGTGGCAGTTATTGCCACCTCTGAGCTCATACGCAGCTGCCCTCGTGTGTCCAGAAGACACTGTTTGCCTTGAGTCCTCCCCCACCCGTGGCTTTTACTCTTCCCACCTCGTCTTCTGAAATGTTTCCTAAGCTGTGGGAATGGGGGTGGTATACGTGTGCTCTTTAGAGCAGAGGATTCTTTGGTCTTTTTCTCAGAGCCCTGGCCAGCGGCGGGTCTCCATCGTCAGCGTGTAAACAGAAGCTTCTCACTGAGCAGTGTGGGCCTTCCAAACCAAACACACACTTCTGCAAATCCAATGCTAACACCACAAGCCAGAAAAAGACATGAGACGCTGTCTTGATCTTTAAGACTTCTGGCATAAATCATAAAATGTAAAGCCACGTGTATTTCTTCAGAGCGCTACTAGGGCTGTTTAGTGCTGCTGGTGTGTGTTTTTAAGGGGTTGCCGCTTGGCACTCGGTAATCGCCTTGGTTGCTAATCTCTGGGGAAGACTGATTCTCCCTCTCTCAA